TGCCACCTTGTTCTTCCACCTTTTCTATGAGAAGTTTTAGCAGAGGCACGCTTGACAGTGTAATGCATGAACCTACCATTATCAACTTCTTCTGTTCAATCAAAAGAGTAAGTACATTATTCTATATAATCTGAGGAACTTCATAAAGTCTCAAATAGAGCAAAATTTTCAGTCAAATGTTTNAAATGTCTCGAGGAACAGTATCTAAACCTTAGCACGTGTAAGAGCCACGTTAATCCTGTGCCAGTCTCCAAGCAATGAAGAAACATAGTTTCTTGGATTTTCACTTGACCTTACGAAGGATAGCAGAATGCAATCTTTATCCCTTCCCTGCAAAGAGTAGATTACATTAGAACAACTAGGGAATGTACCGATCTCTTAGTCCTTTCTACCTAAGAAATCAAGTAATTTGATGTAACTGCAAGACCACCATGAGCCACAGAAAATGATTCTAAACGCAAACAATCGTGTAGATTGGATCATTCGTGAATTGCCAAACGAGCTTCTTGGGGCTGATAGATGGCATATATAATCTTAAACGGTTGAGGATAGATAACGAACAACTGGACAAGGACTTAGGGCTTTTTTCTAGGCAAAGTCAGGTGAAGATAAGTAAGTGTCTCTGAAGTAGCATTGTGAGATGCGAGGGATTAGACTTCTTGTTCTGGGCTAGGGTATTGAGAAGTTTTAGGCTTCTTGAACTTCTGTTTCAGAAACGGAAAGCCAACCATTTTTCTGCTCTCTACTTCCAGATGGCATTCAGGACCCTATAGTTCAAAACCGTACTAGGTCGCCTATGTGTGTAGTTGACAATTACAAACGTGTCAGAGAATAACCATAGACAGATATGTTTCTAGTAAGGCTGGTCTAGTGATTTCCTTTCCCCTTCTACTACCCTGCCAAAAAGGAGCTGTCTTTTTTAATGAATAAGAAAAGTTGCAAATTTAAGATGTTTTTCAAGGATGTAATTACATCAACATATATTACCTGGTATTTATCAATGGTATGTATCTCCACTGATGTGGAAACAGATTGCCGGATAAGATCTGCCTGAGAGTTGTAGGGTGTAATGATGCCTATATCTTCCTCCAATATACCTCTGCTCAACAACCTACGCACTATCTGCAGGCCAAAATCATTATACAGAAATTACAGCTTAATATATTTCTTGTGATCCGATGCTAATGGTCATTAATATTCATGGAAGAAGCAAGAGGCATCATACCTCAGCAATGATATTTGCTTCCATTGGGTTATTTACAGCTTTACGGTCATTTGTTTCAAATGCAAGCAACAAATCTAGTTTGGATAAACAGATAAGCCAACAGCTTAGGACAAGAACGTTTAAACTGCATTTGACAAGCCTGCATAATTTGAGATGGAAATTTGTCTGACCTGTGTTTATAAAGACGACAGGTCTGTCTGGATTCAAAGCCTGTCAAGACAGATCATACCAGGTTATTTCACAGAATAAGACGACAAGCAATTGGGGTATTAACCCTCACAATTCATACTACATATTTTTCTGGAAGGAATATAACTGCTTAAGATGAGGTCATCCTTGTCAGATAATGATCACACCAAGTAACTGCACTAAATTTCTCCCTTGTAAAATTTCTCCTACTGTTTTCCTACATTCCCATCACGACCTTTGTATACAAAGTTGAACTCCTCCTTGTCAGTTATGTACAACTTTGTATGAATCATTACTATGGTAAGAATCATCCTTTCTAAGGACCTTTAAGATTGTGCAATGAGAAACTTTGGACAGCAGGTAGACAAATTTCACTTTTTGAAACACAAGAGATCAACCAACAATTCGGTCTCATTAATACAAGGGTAGTGAAGAACATGTGTTTAGGCTATTCTGTTTTTGACTTTTTTCCTCAGTAGTCTAAACCTATTAGATCAACCAATAAAAAACCTCAGAATTCACTAGTAGAGCTTCAGTTAGAAACAGGATTTTTCTATTTTCTCGAGGGTCCGGACAGAAAAGAATGGACAGGCAAAAGATGTCTTATATTGTGTCTAGTTACCAGACGGAAACACTAAAAACTAAAAAGTGCACTAGGTTTTACACGACACCACTTTAATTTGAGTGCATATACCTAAATAAGTACATCGAAAAAGTAGATATAAATGAAAGCGTAAATCACTCTAAGATGAAAAAGAATCACTGTGGTTATGACATGAAAATATGAGCAGACTTGCTCCTTGAGAAGCAAGTAGAAAGTGCAGATTTGAGTGGTTTATTGCCGGAATTAACTTTGCGGAAATGAACCAGCAGCTCAAACGTTTAACTTATATACAGGGAAGAACTTATGAGTGCTCAAAAAATGGACAAGTTTCACCAGGCGTATTGTCCATCCAGGCATCAATCTCTTTATAGAAGGTGCAGGCCTCTATAGTTTGGAATATATAGAATAAAGTAGTATCATACTTGGAAGCAACATCTATTTTCCATCCTAAGATCATTCTTTCTAGCTGGGCAGGCCTCTTATGTTTGGATCATTACTAAAATAAAGCAGCATTGTACTTGG